TTAGTTCAGTGCTTGAGCTAAAAGGCTTTCTGTTGTCTCTATTTTTAAACATCTATCTTCAATTAGAAAATTCAAGATTAAACAGTTAACATCATTTATGAAAAGGAACAACAGAAATCAGTAGCGTCAATGTGCATGTGGCATGCCAGCATTCAGCTACACAGTGAAGTCTGATTCATCTTTGTAGTTCACAATGGCTGAATTTACATACTAAGATTTTTGCCATTCTGGTTATAGATTAAGACTGAAGTGTTTATATCTCACTCTACTCAACAATCTGATGGAAAATCTCTGTTTACATGCTCACTACAAGTAATCAGATCCAAAATTACGCGCATACGTAGAGTACCACTTAGTGCAGACGTTACCATGACAACCAGCACCACATGAGTCCGGTCAGAGTGACATGAGCAGCAGTGAGCAGTGCTTGTGCTTTATTTACTTTAAAATGATGTCAGACTAAGGAAAACATCCCTCACATATCTTTATTAAAGAAGGCCGAGAGGAAGACGTCGTGTTCTGAGACACATAAGCTGGACGCCCGTCCCACGGCAGTCTTTTAGGTCGTCTCCTCTGCAGACCAGTTTCTGCTCTTGTCATGTTGAACGTTATAAACTTTCGCTATGACGCAACGCACATGATCAGAACGTGCTTACACCTTCCGATTGGGAATGTGATCAGATACAGGCTATTACACGGATATTATTCTTCTATTTAACAGATTATTTACAGGCTTACCCACCTCGTTAAATCAGATAGAAATTGTTTTCCAAATGGTCTCCATCAGTCTATTCTATTCTGACTGAGGCGTATACATGGACGTATTCTATTCCGATTGAGCTATTAGTCGGATTATTAACGGATTATTAGACTGCATGTAAACATGGCTGGTGAGTCATATTATGCTCTAAATCACACTGACAAGCCTGTGTGACCTGAATAATGACCTGCATACAGTTTTGTATATTTATAGAAAAGATTTGGGTGACTATTGACTTGTAGTGTTTGTTACCAGCGTTAGCTTTGTACCACTAAAGAAGAAAAATTTGGACACCGCACATGTCACGGCTGATTGACGATATCTGAGGTATGTGGAAAATTGTGTAAGTTTGATGTCTTTAAGCGGTGATATTATTATTATCATTATTATTATTATTATAAAATAATAATATTCATTTTTTATAATTTAATTCATGAGGCAATTGATGCACACATTTGAATCAGTTAAACTCAGTGAATCACTTTTTGCAGTGTATGATGCTTCTGTAGCCAGGCTGAAGGCACTCTGCTCTGGGCAAAGAGCAGGAATCACAGTGGTTGGGGGTGTTGTGGTGGGGGGGGGGTTAAGGGAGGGTGAACTGGAGGACATGCTAAGCTTTCGTTCAGAGCGCTAAAAACACAAGCTAGCATTCTGCATGGTGAGATTTTGCTTTAGAAACGCACACAACAGCAGTTTCATAATGAGTTATGTAAAAGTCCCCCTGCCTGTGGGGATGACTGGGAGCAAACAGCTGGGCAAATATGAGGCAGGACGCACTGAGCCAAACACACTCACAAATAAAAAAAAATAAATAAAGGTTACCTAACCAGAAAGTTTTTGTAATCCAATCAAGAACCGACAAAATGCAGCTATGGCAGTGTCCCCTTTCCCCCGCAGTTTTCTTATCTGATTCACAAAGCTGGAAATAAAGGGAGCGAAGCAGGCCGGGCTCAGGCCTGCGCCGCAGCATCCCGACTGGTGAAATCTGCCTCATCATGACAGCGACTGTCCTGGCCAGCATGTGTGGGGGTTGCGTAAGCTTGGTTGTGTAACTCTGGTTACGGTGTGTGCCCGTGGATGTGTGGTGGCATTGACAGGATCTCTGCTTCTCATTAAGCCAGCGCTCCCTCAGGAACCGCCCCCCCACCATGTCTTATTGATTGCTTTTGGCTTATTGGTACAGATCCACAAAGGAACAGGGTCTCAGCGCCAGCAGATCCGTCACAGGCAGCACCAGCCAATAACCCTGAAGATCAAAACCACTTTTACAATCTGTCACTCTTTGGAGCGCTGTAATTATGCCTTATTCACTTTTTTTACAAGGCTGTCTTTAGTGCTGGTTGACTGTTGAGGTTTTTTCCCATGCAGGGTGTCCATCGTTGTAATTTCGTACTGGCTCTGAACGGCTTTGACAAGGCTCACTTTGAGCTTGAACAATTTGTAGATTTGCTGGTAAGGATTATGCAGTTTTCACCATATTTAAAAAATAAACAAGTAAGCTATGTGGTATATTAAAATCATGATTTATTTTCAGCATATGTTTCCCCAAAATTCTTCAGTTCTCTTCAAATCAGTATGTAGGTCAGATTTTATAGGAGTTTTTCGGACTATGCAATACGCCTTTATATATTAACGTCACACACACAGGCTCGAAAAGAAGATCCAGCTCAATGTTCAGGTCTCAAAGGAAAACACATTATATTGATGTATATATGAGGCCATAGTAGATAATTCACTTAGATGCTCAGAAGACATTTACCAAGTATTGACTGAGTTCTCTTTGAATGCTTCTTCAGCGTGCTTGTTATCATCAGGATTCATCCTTTTGGGGAAGGGAAGGGGTCCAAGCACCACCAACGTTAGATAATGTTCCTCTGTCACCATCATGTCGTTTTAGATTTGTATTCTTTTACATAATTTGAGTCCTCTCTGTGTGGAGTTTGCATGTTCTCCCCATGTCTGCATGGGTTTCCTCCGGGTGCTCCAGTTTCCTCACACAGTCCAAAGACATGCAGTCAGGCCAGTTGGACACGCTAAATTGCCCCTAGGTGTGAGTGTGTGTGTGTGAACGTATATGTCTGTTTGTCTGCCCTGTGATGGGCCTGGCTTCTGCCCCGCTGGGATAGGTTCCAGCTCCCCTCAAGACCCAGAAGGATAAGCGGCTTAGATAATGTGTGTGTGAGTGTGTGAACATCATTTAAGTCTAGCAGCTATCATTTACAGTTCATGATGAATGGACCAAAACAAAAAGTGCAAAATTACTTCAAATAAAATCTTGTTACATTAATAGACTGAACTAGTAAACCTGAACACAAAACAAAAACATGCAAAATGTGTCCAAACTTCCCATTTAACTTGAGAATATGCTATAAAAACTAAAAATAACATATGCACACACACATCTTCTAAGCCGCTTATCCTTCTGGGTTGCAGGGGGAGCTGGAGCCTTTCCCAGCTGCCATTGGGCAGAAGGCAGGATACACCCTGGACAGGTCGCCAGTCCATCGCAGGGCAATAAAAATAACATTTTACAAAAATATATATATATTTGTAAATTAAAATTTGTAAAATAAGAGTTATTTAACAGAAACCAACTGACTGCTAAGAAAGCTAGGAAGCTTTTTGAACAAAAGACTCTTTAGCCTGTAGAATTTATCCAGATGAACTAAATTTTCCTAAATAACTAAAGGTTATACCAGAAATAAGAAGTGTGACTAGATCTGAATTAGTTTTTTAGCTGCTAAAATGACTAATTTAGCACATAAATAAACTAAGCCAAAAATAAATAAATAAATAAATAAATAAATACATAAACAAACAAGTTAGTGTTAACAAGTTAGTGTTTACAGTGAAGGAACACCCAAACTCTTGTTAGCTGTGCTGTGATAGAGATGAAGCGCATGTGGGTGGGATTTGATCATGACTAATACTGAAGGAAAACTGGACAGAACTTTTTTGATGATGAATGTACTTCATCCATGGTAGAGCTATATCCTCAAAATCCATGCTGACTGCAGACTGCACGTCCAGCAGTGCTGTGAGGGAACTAGTGCCAAAGGAAATGTGCTTCTCTGTCTTCCTGCCTTCTCCAGTCACACACAACAGCATAAACACAAACACACACGCTCATGCGTCTACCCTTTCTCGTTTGTGGCTCACGCTAGCTCTGGCAGCCTAATGCAGGGTTAATGACCCGCCATGAGGCCCAGCCTCAAAGCAAACACTGGTGAATAACTTCCTGCCCATATAACATCTTCAGTCCTTCAGGAAAACATCAACCACAGAGAATTCGATGTAAACTCTGTGCGCTGACCATAAACTATACTTTCACTTGGTCTTGTATGAAAACAAGTTTTATTTGCTTACACTAAACAAGGCAATTAAAGTATTATTCTTGTGTGTTTATTTGGGTTTAAGCAGATTTGTTGTGTCTTACTTTGTGAAATGTTTAGATGGCCCCAACCAGACAGACCACATTTAGCTGCCAGCACACCTGTACAAGGTATTCAGTGTTCTTAATGGCTTGGTTCAGGTGTGTTGGGAGCTCTTAACAGGCTTAACAGTGTCTTATTATTCTGTATAAGCAGATATAAGGGCCAACTGACAACTGAAGTTAGTCTAAAATGTTTTTATTGTGCAAAATAGTGAAAAAACAGAGCTGATCGTCATATAAATAGATGTCAATTTTGCTTTCTAAATGGACAACAGACTGGAATTGACTACACAGCAGGAGATGAGTGTTTATATTTTCATTTTCACCATTTAAGGTGGAACAGGAAAATTCAAACAAGAAGCTGGTGAATGAGAAGCGACTTCAGCCTCGTAAAAAATAGAACATTAAGAAACATTTTAGAAGAAATTATTCCACTTCTGGAAAAGTTTCCTGCCGGAGATGCGAAAAAAAGCAGCTATAGCTGAGCTAAAACTTAAAGCAGAGCAAAGTGAGTCTGCATTTTCATTTATATTATATTTGTTAGCCTATGCTAGTACATTAACACATACTGAGACATATTTACAGCCAAGGTGGTAAAATGGACATAAAATGTTGTGGCTGCCAAAGTGGTTTGATTCTTGTTGAAAGGACAAAATGGCTCTTCTTAACATTAGGGTTACCCCTGGACTCCACCAATTAAAGATTTTTCTACAACAGTCTGAGCCTATTTAAGACCCTTTATTTTTAGGAGTGTAGTCGAGGCCACACATAGAGTACATCTCTCTCTTTCTTCCCCTACTCTCACAGGAAGCTGGAGGCTCTGGACATGTCTCACAATCAGTTGTCTGTGGTGCCCCCTTACCTGCCCAGAGTTTTACGGCAACTGTCTCTCCAGCACAATCACATCCGTGCTATCCCCCACTACACGCTGAGTCACCTTCGTCCAGGCCTCCAGTCCCTGCGCCTCTCCCATAACCAGCTGGTGGAGGAGGGGCTCCAGGGAAAGTCCTTCCGGGGTGCCTACAAAACACTGGTGGAGCTTCTCTTGGACAACAACTGGCTTGAAAGCGTCCCGCAGAACATCCGCCACTTCAAGTACCTGCAGCTGCTGCGACTGGATCACAACCGCATCACGTGAGTATGAGTGGAGTTTGGAGTCTGACTGTCGTCTCCACACAGCCTCTGTAGCCAGTCTCTTCTAACCTTCTCTTAAAACACTCTGGACAACTTTGTCTCACCTCGTGATCCTGGTGCTCGCAGTCTAATTCATATCAAGGCAGAGATAGAAGACTTTACTTTATGAAACTAGATTCAGAAGTGATTGTGAAGCCTAAATCAAACTTTGCAGTTTTTCATCTTAGCATATTCATACTGCGGTGCTGACCTCCTCAACTTGGCACGTAGGCACTGCAACCTTTAGAGGTCTACAGTTATTACTGCTATTTTGTTATACTATATAAATGTAAATACATATTTCTAGGAATTATGATAATTGACCAATATTTCAAACTAATATGCAATGATGTATTTCTTATACTTTGGAACAGCTGAATGTTTTAGTCACACCAGGCTACTGCATTAAAATATCTGCACTTAGAAATTTTACAGCAAATATTAAATTTCTCTATAATCAGTATTGGCATTGGCAGATGTGTGTATGAAAAATATCGGTATCCGCCCAAAATTCCTATATTGGTGCTACGTTTTTATGTCTGCATTTGCTCTATTTGTTTTTAGGTCTGCATTCCCAACGTTTTTGTTTCAGGGTTAAACAATGGCAAAAATTGCAAAAAATCCTGTTTTTTCTTTTCGCAAATTAAAACTTTTTAATGAAATTTGATTCCATGTACGAATGTAAATGTGGTATCGACTGTAGGTCTAGAATCTGCACTTTCAATAGAATTCCTTCACTTGTTTCAATAAACTAGTGAGATATAGTTGATATAACACTGCAGCATGCTTTCGTTATTGCCAGGGATTCACTGAGACTTCAACGGGTTGAAACTGAGCTCAGTTTGTTGTCGTGCCCTATTCCCATCGTCACTCCATTCACCCTCGCTTTCCCCTCTCTTCTCTCACAAAATCCACTCATAGTTTTTATTGGTTTGGATTGCATTTCACAGTCATAAGCTTTTCGCTGCCTTCAGGCCATCCTATCCAAGTATGGCAGGCTGAACAGTGTGCATGCCCTACCCAAGGGAATAGTGCACTGCATGAACTGAAAACTCCAGACTAATTAGAATATTTGTGTGTTTCCTTTGGCAGCCTGCCAATAATTGTGTGGATTCAAATATACAGTACATAACTCTGAATCCGCTCGTCATGTTTCCATAGCTCCGTGACACTGAGCCTCAGCAAACTGTCTGTCTCCAGAGACATGAGCAGAAAAACAACTTAACCAGTCATTACAGGATGTCATTGATTAAACACATTTGCTAAAGTGCTAAAGTACGCGCCAGAGGTTTATCTGTTTATAACTCCGTATATAACTTATGTGTTCCAGCTCTATTCCAGTGAAGTCAGTGTGTAAAGTCAGAATGACTGAATCCTCCCCTCTGGTGGCTCTTCACCTGGAGAACAACCACATCGATGTGAAGAAAATTCGCCCAACCGCTCTCTCCTGCATCCGGGACCGTCACAGGGTCAAACTAGAACCCCAAACTACTAATGAAATCCAGTAGAGCCCTACAAAATGCCTCAGTACTTTTCTGCTCAAGTTCTTTTAACTGTGTTTGGTGCTAAATTACAATCGTCTGAATTATTTATTCAGTTATAAATTAAAAGCATGATATTTCTACATTTTTTCAGTCAACGTTTGTCCTCTTTCCCATGAAGTCTTAATGTTTTTGTTGATTGCAGCCTGTGTGTTTATCCCCAGCCAATCTGCTCATTCCTGTCTCCATACCATTGCAGTACTTTTGCTTATTCTAACAACAAGACTGTTCTTTTTGGACGGGGCTGTCTTGATGCCAAAGCTATTTCAGTATGTGCTGATATCTGTGCTGGTATAACAGTTCTTTTGCCAAATGTTTGTAAGTGTATAAACTGTCTTTTCACAAATACGTGATGATCTTTTTCTGCAGTATATGTTTGTTCTTATTTCTTTATCATGATAAACCAGATTTATGTTAAATGTCTTCTTGATTCGCATGTATATGAATCATCACTTACAACACAAAGCAATCCACAACGACAACTGGCAGTGAAGAATTCAGAACCTGCAATGTTAATGTCTGCATGATGTCTGCTCGACTTTAGCCAACAGTGATAGTACATGTTTATAGGCCACTAATGTCCCTTCCATAAATAGTTTATATAATTGGACCCATTTATACGGGTTAGTAACTGAAAGTCTATCATACTGCATGCAGAATGGCGTACAGTCATTGGCTTTGCGTGAGTAGATAAATAATTCAAAAGGACTTAAGATAATCTGAATGACAAGGTAATGAGATGGAGCTTATGGGCTATGATGTCTTGTTAGTTCAGGTGTAAATGACTTGTGCCTTCATGTCTGAGTAGGGCCTCTTGGCAGAGTCGATGCCAGAGACCTTGGGTGAAGAAGTTCACTTCAGTGCTTAAGAACCTTACGTTTTTCATAACCAAGAGCTTGAGACGCATTGAAGTTGCCAAAGAATGCATTTATTCAGTATTTTTAATTGTTCTCTGACGTCTACATAGAAGGTATGTCACTTTGGTCGGGGTGAAAAATGCCCAGATGTGGTTTTACACTCCCATTTACATCCCTATGATTTGGCTCTAGAATCAAATGAGCTGTTTTCCCTTTTTTGTTGGGCTCATGAATAATTTGATGAGCTCTGATTTGCTGGTTTACAGTGAGGCATCATGATGGCTCAAACAGAAGCAACATGTCGAAATAGACACAGACAGAAAAATGAAATGAAGCTCTGTATAAATAAGCTAGGTCCTCATACTATTTAGTTAGCTATGCTAGTTACTTGGAGCTTGCTAGTAGCTAACTCTACCTACACTAGCTACTTGCTTTCGATCTCAACAGCAACACAAAGTAAACTAAAGTTGTTAGCTCACTATGAAACTTTCAATTTAAGGTGACCTGTCTTCAAACGTCAAAAAATGGATAAAATCACAGCATGGTTAGCTATTTACAGGTTGCAGTTGGGGTTGTGATGCTAATAAAGTTGGAACTGCTTCATCATCTCTTCAGTGTCAAACGCTGAGTGAAGCTGCTCGATAATGTCCAAGGTTTGAGAAACTGTACAGGGTGAAATGTGCACAGCGAACTAACAACTTTGAATTCAAGTTGTCCAGGTTGTCCTTGTTAAAGACGTGGAAGCTTGTTTTGGGAATTTTCCATCTTAAGTTACCTGTACAAGCTGCAGCATTTAAGGTGGAATGGAAGTTTGTCAATAGGAAGCCAGCTTCAGCCTTGATTAAAGATGAACATCAGCCATGCTGTTGGACGTTTGGTTCCTTGTCGACATCCCCTTCACAGTCTGGAACGGAACATTTCTGCACATAGCCTCCATTTTCATTCCTGTTGCTCTGTTGTCGTTGTTTCACTGGGCTACAAAGAGGGCTGTTGTATGTACATTTTTAGGGTGTAAATATTACTGGGTCAAGACTGTTACAGAACAGTTTAGGAATTTGCAATTGCCCCCTTTAAGGCCCACTTTTGCATATGTGGGATTTCCTTTTGAAGGAGGAGACAACCTATTGTTTCTTGTACCTGTCAGTTCCAACTAATTCAACTATGCCAATGTAAATAAGTTTCTTCTCCTATTTCTTGTTAAGCTGTTGTCTTCTATAGTGCGTTCTCTGGTTTGCATAGGTCTTCATGCAAAGGCAGCTGGGCAAAGTGCTAAAATGTTTGCTTCTTTCTAAGTAAGTGCAATAAAATTTCACCCCAGGGACTCCTTTGGGGCCAAGAATAAGAGGTGCATTCGAAATTGGAGTGGAAGTACTACAGTGATTAGACAATGTAAATGCAAAATGAATATGTAATCTGGACTACAGAATCAAAGGGCAATGAAACATTCTAGACTTGTTGCCTTTGCAGAAGAATTGGCCAGGGGTCTGGGTGGAGATCGCTACTTTTTGAAGAAAAACACTGTAAAAATTGTTGATTTTTACTTGTTTGACTATGAGTGAATATTCAGTTTTGTAAGTCATCAATATGAATCTGATTACCTACAGACAGAACAGTGTGAAGTTCATCAAAGGTCAGAATGGGCCTCATTCACCAACTGTTTCTGAGAAATTTCCACTTAAAACCCACATACATGGATTTCATGTAGATTCTGACATTCACCAGTGTTTTCTTATTTAGGATTTGTTCTTAGGTAAGAACAGAATCTACACACACTGCAGAGCACAAAGGTGTGAACAATCCTGTAGTTTAAGAACACGTCATGAATCTGGCGCAGACTTTTTATTAGGACCTCTCTCAAGAACAAATTTAAGAAGAAATTAAGAAGATATGAGAATGAGGAGAATGAGCCCTGCCTTTATAAATGAAGGATTTGCAACATTTTTTGTACTATTATCATTTTGTGAATATTAATCTATAGTAATTCAAAGTATTTTCTCAAATATTTATAGTATATATATATATATATATATATATATATATATATATATATATATATATATATAAATCTTGGATCTCCAAAATGGTAACTTTACAGGGGAAGGAAAAAACCTACTTCACTTTGAATGTAAGTCAATGGAACCAGAATTTTTTCCAAGTCATTTTGGGCCGTTTCTTTTGGAAAAAAAATGGAATTCTTCATGATATTCACACACAATATAAAGGACAGGCATTTTCTAATTATGTCAAAAACCGAAAAATGACAAAAATGGAGATACGAGATATTTTAGTAGCATGCATATCAGATAAAAAGAGGTATTTCAGTGATACTATTAAAAATCTTCTTATTACTACTCTATACTGAGTATGTACTGGAAAACACAGGACATGATTCCATTAACTAATTTACTTAGCTTAGTCCTTAACTAATGTAGGTACTTTATTCATGTAGTTTTACATTTAAATTGTTGTATGCAAACTATAGAACCCTGACATTACCTCCTCCGCCCCACTTAAAAGACCAAAGTTGCTTCCTTGAATGGGACACTCTGTCCAGTTTTTTGTGCATCGATAATACCCGTGAAGTACATGCTGTGTGTGCACGTGTGTATTGGGGTGATTATTTGGCTTTGCCCAAGAGGAGATGGTTTTATAACCCAGTGGCTGCTCCGTTTGCAGAATACAATGCCCACGTTCTTACAGCTCTTCTATTCCCTGAGCAGCGGGGGAGATGGGGGTAAAGAAATTCTGTAAAAAAGAAATTAGGGCCAGACGTGGAGCTCCAAGCTGGGGACCTCTCCAAGCTCCTCTTCAGCACACCCAAGCCATAAAAGCTCCAGAGCTGTGCCAACACTGAACAATCAGTGACATCACAGTGTTCTTAGTTCTCAGTGTTCCCTGTCCTATCATTAACTTATTAGGCCTCACTGTGCAAAATGTTCAAATCGCACAGCAATCACTATAAACCTTTTTTCTTGCTTTGGAGCATGGCCCGAGTCCGTCTCCTCTCTAAAAAAATGTTCTAAAACACTTTTTCCAATCTCTAATTTTGAGCTTTAGGCGATCTTGGTCATGTTTGTGCCTCTTCCAGTTCTCCACAATGTTTCTCTTGTTTGCTCGTCGCTCTCTCTCTCTCTTTCCGCAGTCGGACAGCAAGTGAAGCCAGCGAGATCTCCACAAGGACTCTGAGATTTGGTTAATCCCCCATGTCTCCTCCACAGAGAATATAACTCATCTCTGTTAGACTCTTTTTTCTCTTTCCTCTATTCGTACTCCTCCTCCCACACACTGGTTTAATTACCCAGTATGCCTCATCTCCCTGCTGAAAACTCTAGACTGCTCTGCTCATAAATGAGCAAACCACTATTTCATGACAGTAAATATGAGATCTAATATATCATAATTTTGTTTTTTGGCATTCCTGTCACTCCTAATATTTCAACTTTTGGTTTTATCTTTAGATTTTCACCTCCTGCTGTCGTACAGGCCACAAAATCCACAACTGTATTTCATCTCATTTGTACAGCCTCTGCCACTGAACATAAAATCATATTTTAATGTTGTTTTAAAGCCATGTTTTCCATATTTTCTCATGTTACAATAATTTTCTATCTGATTCCTAATGTTGTTGATCTCTCCTTGTATGTCAGTGCGGTGGAACAGCTACGCACACTTTTTCAGTGTCCAAGACATGTGGAAATCAATGATGTTGATTGTTTTGCTATTTCAACTCAATGTGTAACATCAGTGTTCCACATAACAGCGCCCACTTCAAATGCATGCTAAGTCAAGCTGTGTTCAATCAGTTTTTGTCCTGAGGGTTTCTCTCTACCTAATGTTTCCACTCTTATACCTGTCAGCACAGTGGAATACAGCAAAGCTAGATGTGAAATACCATGTTTTGATTTTTTGACAATTATTTGACTCTAAATGAAGCCTCTTGACTGAACATGTTCAGCTCTGAAATCTAATGCCTCCAAGCTTCAAGATCGTCTCAGTGAGCCAAAAGGTCCAGCCAGCTTTTATAATTAGCAGCTTCATGATAACAAAATGCAGCCTCTATACTATATACAATACTATATGTAGTACCACAATGTATAGGTCATACAATATATTGTTAGTCGTCATCTCAACATTGGCCTTCTCAATGCTGACAGCACAGAGGGTTCTCTAAATTTGTCCTGTATACAGGGAACATCTTGACACACAACAAGTGTTCCTGTTAAGTGTTCCTGGATGATTTGTTAACCCAAGGCATTGATGTGAGCCAACAAATGCAAAATAGTGCATCCTTAAAACAGGCCACATTTTGACATATTGGGATATACAGGATGCACAAAGTAACAGGAACATCACATGAAATAGTCACTGGCCATTTTTCTGGTATACCTACCATATGCAGGTTTACAGTTAGTGACTGTAGCCCACCTGTGGTTGTCGTCTATGCCATTCAGCCATGCAACAATGGAATAGGACCACCGTTGCTCAGACATA